GTTCAGACAGCGTGGCGTTGTAGCGTGCACGTGTAAGCCGCAAAACGCTTACGGGCCGCGCCGCTTCGTAATAAAGTTTTTATCCGTTCCGCCGTTATCCGCGTCATTCCTCTGCCGACGATATCGCGGCATTACGTGTGCCCGTGTAAAAAAAAAAAAATATCCGTACCACGCCCGAAAATGCACGTCGAGAATTTTGTTTCCCATTCCTAAAAATTATTCCGTCTTGAGTAATAAATCTTGAACAAAGTTGTACAATTGTTGCGATTAAAAGTTGTATATATAGTGATACGACAAGCCTGTGAAAATAAGCAGTAGAAAGCGGATTCGCCATGAATCTGTATCGAAGTTCTAAGATTCTCCGAGAGACACGTGAACTCGTATTGATGTCGAATGGATCATTAATCCCGAGAGGGAAGGAGGCAAATCTATTCGGATTGAACCGCGCATGTCGATACGGAGATAAGTTACCGAGAGATGTCATGTTACTCCGTGTCGAGATGGTCTAACATGCGCTTCCTGTTCTGTGATCCGGGGCACTATCGATACCGTCGATTATTCACCGGAACTATCCAATTGAACTTTGCTTGCCAAGGGCGTACTTCGTATCCCAGTCCCACGAAACTTGTCTCACGTGCGAGTAAAGGTAATTCCACTCCAGGGTTGTCCGAAGGCGCTCCAATGCATGGAGGGGTTGTAGTAACTAGTCTTTCTTTAGTGGGTACATTCCCTCGATCTCCACAAAGTCGAGGGAACTCCTTGTTCTCCGAAGAACGATTCCGTACTCGATCCGAGAGAATCTATGAACATGCAATGGATGTCGTAAATTGTGCGAAAATGTAGTAAAATTCTGTATAAAATATCACAAAATTAAAAAAGATTTAAGATTCTTAGATATATATTCACAATGTTAATGGATGAATAAGAGAGTTTAAGGCGCTTTAATTAAAAAATTAAAAAATGTATCAAAAAATATAAACTACTGTCTATTGCACAATTGTTAAAAAACCCTTAATAAGATGTAATATATTTTTCAATCAATGAAAATATAAGAAAAAAATACAAATTATTTTTCTGACGTTAGGTCTTCATCAAATAAGAAAACAACACATCTACAGCCGCTTGCCAATCTAATAGCTGTGGCGTTGAATATTTTTTTCCTGAAATTGGATGTTTCATTGTTTGCATAATAAATTTACTTGCGACGTCGTCTCTGTGTATAGATTGAACATCTCGACATATGAGACTATTTCAAATAACGAAGGCCAGGAGAAAGAAAGTCGAACGATAAATTCACCCGAGAAAAAGTGACACGATTGAATATGCCGAATAAATGTTTGTATAAATAAAACAAAAAGATAGATAAATTAAGTAGAAAATCAATGATGTAAGAAAAACAAACAGAGAACAATGTTCATTGCAGAGATAAATGTTCATATAATTGACAGTCAAAAATACGTAAAAGAACTCACAATCAGATGAGGAATTTGTATAAAAATAGATCGACATTATAAGAAGAGCTCTTCAAAAATAAATTAATATGTTTCAATTAGCTTAAATTAATTTAATATTTAATTTATATTAATTATATGTTACTTAAATAATATTAAAATCTATTTTTAATGAGAGTAAGAACATCTATTTTGTGCTAGTTTATTGGAAGAATCATAAAAATCAAAGAAAAACAGTTTGAATAAGTGCCATGTAAAAAGCACAGCAGAAAGTTTTCTTCCTGCCGGAAAAGTTTCATTCTCGTCGCAAATCTATGGAGAACAGTCTAACGAGATAGTCGCCTTTTGTTCCCGTCGCTGCGGTGTCCAAAGATCTCCATTTGTAACTTTAAATTCGTAACCGGCAGCATATTTCAGATGCGATATAGACTGAATCTAATACGATTACGTCGTACGTAAGGCGAGCGGGGAGTAAAACTCGAGAATGAAGACGGCACGGCACGAAAACTTCTTCATAACTATACCCGGAGCTGTCTTAACCGTTGAACTGAATGGGTTATAGCCCCTGGGATTCGACCTTTTAGTGCGCCACTTGTGATCTTTCTTCATCACCCCTGTTTCCTTAAAAAAATTTATTCCGATAAAATCCTGCCACTATAAATGTATGTCTCTCTATTTCATTAAAAAACGTAGCATTTGAGATTAACTGATAAAATATAAGAATATTTATTAATTTGTATTAATACAATTTATATAATTTTTATTTATATTTGTATATAATTTATATATATTATTATTATTTATATAATTTTTATTTATATAATTTATAACATTTTGGCCGTTTATCATTCGAGAATTCCACATTTTCTTTCTCATATCTTTATTGACTGACAATGTGTGTATATTTTTATATTTTCTTGCTTATATATATATATATATGAGCCTCTCAAAACTGATCAATTCTAATTTTTGTAAATTTCTTAATTTTAGCACTAATTATGTACAATTATGTGCTCTGTATGTATGTGTAGTAGTAAAATTTAAAAAATTATAAAAAGTGGAATTATACAGTTTGACTTCTGAGAGGCTCATATGTATATATGTAAAACACAATTATTTTAAATATGCATCAAATCCATGTTATATAACATTTTTAGATTGATATCATGTCGCGGACAAGATCACAAAGTTATGATATAAAGTTGCCGTACGGCCCATATATATAGAGGCAAATTTACGCGCTGCAGTCGACCGGATCAGCTCGTAAAGTATCCTTGTTGTCAGATTTTTCTCCTCGCTGACACGTAGAGCGGCTTTTCACGTTGCCGCGCCTTTTGCGTATTTTTATTTGCGTTCCCGCGATTCGTGTCCCACTAAATCGCTAATCCCGACCCCCGCCGTATCCCGTTCGTCGTCGTGTCGACTTTTTGCGTCGAACAAACATCTCGTTTTAATCCGCATCGCGCGCCGCCGGATACTATTTCATCCATCCGGACCCCGCCGAATTTGTCGGAAGATTCTTTACGTCGTGCTTTACACTAGACATGGAAAATATGAACGAAGAGTGAAAGGAGAGTTTGCGTTGCGGTAGGACATTTTTCATCGCGCGCGGTTCATGGTAGAACAAATAAATAAACTACCAATCTTAATATATGTGTATTCAAATTATACATTTTTTGGTTAAATTATGTGAACAGTTCACTTAATTTTATCGTCAGATTTCAATAATTTTTAATTATAAGTATCATAAAATGATCATATAAGATTCTAGAGTTGCATTAGTAATTTTTGATAGATTTCGTATTATTACATGATATGTAATGAATATTCGCTCGGATTAAAATCAACGGCTTCTCAATAATTGCGCGCCAATTTGACAATTAAAACTCCATTCTTGCGCTCGTCATGACAAATGAGAAAATAGGTGTCATCGTTACGTTTGCGTGATGCAACTACAATAAACATTGTTACTGGTGTGTCGCAAAATGCACAAATAAACATTGCATATATTTTATAGAGGCAGTGCGCAAATTCGTGCGCTGTTCATTCACGCATAAATCATCCTGTACAGTCGTGCGATCCGAGCACACGCGACATTACTGCAACACCAGAGAAAAGTCGTAAAACAATAGCGATAAAGCTCATTCGGTGAATCTAATCTCGAAGCAACAATAAATCGATCTGCCCAATTTATGAGTCTCACGTGTATACGACAAAATCCATTAAATCCCCTAAAGCCTGCGCATACGATGTTCACTTTATTGTTGGGAAAATGACATAACGTAAAAAAAAATCATCGTTTTTATATTATCATTGATGTTTGGTCATTAATCCTCGATATATAAGTCTGAAGCAAACATGAAAAAAAAGGAGTTTGGAGTTAACTTTTAAAATTTACAGCCAGAGTACACAAGTTTTTCAGTACTATCGCAATGCTTTTACAATCCAGAGTTGTAATCACTTAGATTTATACTTTGCACACTTACTTGATATATGACATATTCCTTTTAAAAATAATGTGTGTGTCTATGAGTACTTTAATCACTATTTTCTAAAAGATGCAGATTATTAAGTATGTTAAGTATGTTAATAACAAAATTAAGGCTATTAAAAATTCTATTGATTGCACCATCAAACGCGTTCGTTAAAATTCTCGTTATTAAGGCCAGAACTGTACAAGAACGTCATTCTTGTGGAAGAACGTAAAATCGCTCCATCAGTGATCAACAAGGCAGCTGACCGCTTCGCTAAGGAACTTTTCCTTACACGAAAAGGGTGAGTAAAGATAGACGGCTTGGATGGTAAGCCGGGAAATCGTCGGTGGCCCACGAGGGAATATTATGCAAAGTGGGAAACAGATGCACGACTCCCTCGAGCGCGATGCTCCTATTTTTTTGTTGCTGCCACGAGGCGAGCCGTCGTCCCGTATCTTTTGTAACCATGGCCGGTTAAAAAAAGCGAGCATAAAAAGAACGAAAAAGCCTCCACGAGACACGGCTGGCCGACTTATCTCGGCTGAGATTCTTGTGGCCCTTTTGCCACAAGAATTCTCTGAGAGAACTCGAGAATCTCGAAGGATGTGGAATTTCCGCGTCGAGACGTAAACAACGCAATTCTTGCTGACAGTCTAGAACTCTTGTCACTTTTTACTTTTCTACAAATCGTTATATATAATGTGCCAAGATTATCAGCTCTTCCAACTGTAAATTTTTGGAAGACATTTCCATTCACGATTAAAAATAATTGAAATGCTTGGTTAATAAGATAATAAAAAAAGGAAAAATTTTTCGAAATAAAGAAATTATTTATTATTCTTTTAATAATTTGCAAGTTCATTAATAATTTTTAATTGTTTGTCAATTAGTCGTAATACTTATGTATCTTGTGCAACAAGATACATATATATCATATATAACGATGGCTTATATAACTTTAACTGATAATTCATGGCGTGCAAACATTGATCATTATTCTTGTTAGTCGTACGATTTTCTTATCGTCTTTGAATCATGCATAAATTCTCGTCGAAAAATGTTTTTCGCCGATTTGCAGTCTCGCAGCGAGTGCAGTGAGTCGAACGTTTTGGCGCGACCGGAACGCATTATACCGGCGAATGCAGATTTTTTCGTCGGAAGAAAAGCGGGGCACTGAATTTAAATGCAGCACCGTAGCGCACACAGATCTATATTCGTGAATTTATATACGAAGTACCCAGAGATTTACGTTAGAGAGAGAGAGATAACGTTCTCCACGCGCGCGTCCTCGCTCCATACTTCTGAAATATTCATAACTCAAGATCATCCTTAACCCACTAATTGATATTCCGCGCATCTGGAACTCGCTGCACCAACAGGTGTGCAAGTTTGAAGCTCCGTTCACACCGCGCCGACGTCTAACATATCAATCTCTTTCTCATTCTTCTTCTCCCATCATTTATTTTCTAGGAATAATACGCACCGCTACCGATGATATCCCTTTCAAAGATGCGCATCTTGCATGCGGCTGCATATTAATCCGAAGCAAATCCAAAACGGACATTTTAAACAAATATACCCTGTCCGTTCGTCCAAAAGTTCAGACAGTGATTCTATCCCTCTTTGGCGCTTACGATGAATATTGATGCGGTAATGTACGACATTCTAGATTTATAGTGTTTTACTCGCGCGCGAATCATGTATTTATTCTTTAAACAGTTTACAAAAAGCGGCAATTTTCAATGCGACGACAAAGTTTTTATAATTTCTTAACTTCTTAATATTTTGCTAGTTAACAAAAAGATATTCAGATGTTTTCTTTAATATCGGTGCATTTACTTCAATATATATTTACTTCGAATCAGATCCGTCAACTATCAAATACTCGCTTCTTTATTTTAGATGCAAATCTGACATTCAATATTCGAGCAATGACCTTGCCATTCGAGAGAACGTGAGTGAAATCCTTCTCCATGTTGTCACGAAAGTGAGAGACCGTGCAAATAAAAGAAAAAAAAAGCAAGTGAGAGAGAGAGAGAGAGTGAGTGAAGGGGGAGGGGGGAGGGAGAGACCAAGAGGGAACACAAGAATACGAGGGAGGTACTCGAGTATGAGCAGATAACGAAAAATGTTCCCGCCATCTGCTCGCGGGACTTTTGGGAGTGAGAGGGACTTGAAAATCACTTTCACGCCGATTCCGTGGACGGGCGGTCGCACATTCAGCCTGAAAATTTCATTTTCATAACTTACACGACGGCAGTTTGTCTCCTGATGTGTCGCACGGGTATATCCCTTTCTCACAATGACAGAGAACGTCGCTGAGTGGAAACGAATTTTTATCGTGCTATCTGGCGACTCGACATTTTCTTGGATTAGAGACGAATGAACGAAAAGATCTTGTTTTAACATATAATTTCTCGCAAAATTTGTATTCTACGTGAGTGTTGTATATATAATTTAGGAATATGCTATACACAGCTAGCAATATTATTTCCATCTGCAATTATCTTCGACACCGTTAATTTACGCGTGGCTTCGAAGAGAAACGAAGAGATCAATGTGAGGATCATTTATCCATTATCGTAAATCGAATTGAATCATTACAATTAGGTCTCTTCCGCGTTACTAACGACGGAGCGAGAACTGAAGTTGACTGCTTTATATTCGAAGTCTAACAATCCCTCCGATCGTAATTACTAAAATCTATGAAGTTCCTTCTCGATAATGGTTCAACTTCTCTGCATAAATCATCGAATAGAGATTCCGTCCAAAATCGATTGCAGGCGAAATCATTTCATGGAAAGAAATGCATATAGTTATATATAATATAAATATTTTATGAAAAAAGAAAAACAAAAATAAAAATTATATATATATAATTAATTTTTTATTTTTCCCCCATAAAATATTGCGTATGTGTATGTAACATCAACAACCTCAATAGCGAAAGTTTAATTATCCGATGATATTGTTAATCTGATAACACGTTCAGTCTAATAAAGAGAGCAGTCACCCTCTAATATTCTAATTCGCTAGTGTAAAAGCTTATTTGCACCTGCCGATCAGACTTAGTATTTGCTAGAGACCGTATCGTAACCCGATTATAATAATATTATTGTCATAATCTGACAAATGATAAAATACACATGTATGTGCTACAAACAGCACATATTTAGTTGCATTTGATCGGCACCGCTGCGTAAGAACGCATATTGGATGCAGAAAACAAAAGTCATCTGGCGCCTTGTAAAATCTCGAAGCGAGCGTCTTTCCACTTTGGAGCTAAAATCTGGGACGCGCTAGACGAGGGTTGCAGGCAGTTGCTGAGGGACGGATGCAGGCTAAAGAGCGCGAGATGGAAGAATGAAAAAGACAAGGAAAGAGGCAGCGAGAGAAAGGTCGCGCGCGCGATACAGAGAGAAAAAGACGGGATAAGAACGGAGAGATGGAAAAAAGACCCACGAGGAGCTTGAAAGATTTCACGTCGGCTTCCTCTTTTCTTCTACCAGTTTTACCTTCCCCCGCCCCGCTACGCTGATGGCAGCCTCGCGTCGGATTATTTTCCACCTTCAAGCATCGCGAGAAAGACTTTCCTGTGCTCGCAAGAGATACTGCGTTCTGTATCGTTTAAGGAAAAGAAAGAAGAGAAAACGCGCCGAGCGAGCGCGCGACCGCCTTCAGTCTCAGCTCGTTGCCAAAGTCGATTTCCTTTCTCGAGAAGATATTAAATAGCGCAATTCGCCTGCGAGTCTCTCGTCGAATGTATCTATTAGATAGCGTATTTGCGCAAGATTCTCTTTCTTTGGTAGTTGGGATATAATTATCCTCGATGGCGATAAGTAGCGTCGAAAACAACGAGGATAATTTTCTCGTTTCATTAATCTTATCTTAAAGCGATAAATGCGGAACGTTCCTGATTCATTCCAGCTACGTTTAACGATATATATTTTACAAACAGTTAAGAAGAACTAATCCTTTAAATTAATGTCCGCGAAGCGAATGTAAATAATTGCCTGCCGTGCAGCGAAAGACAACGAAGCTTATTGCGCGCGTCAAGATTATAGAGTTTTAGCGTTCCCAGGAGTTTTATACTGAATGAAATTTTAATGTCATTCGTGCATGCTTTGAAACGCAGGATCATGTCTGCATAATGCCGGCGCAAGCTTGCCAAAAGCTAAATCTGCGGAGATCAAAGGATTCAACTTAGCCTCCTACCTTTGTGCATCTATCCTGTCGCAATATGCCAAATGACATGCCGGACGGAGGAAATCATTTTATGCATAATATTTTTAACGAACACTCATGGTTGTGACAAGTAGCAGCGTTTTTGTGCCTCGTAAATCTTTCGTTCTATATTTGGCAAAACTATACAATATAGAATTCTATTTTATCATGAACAATATAAAGGGGATTTAATCAACCTCAGAAATATATTCTTTTAAATATTCTGTTTACAAAACAAAAACAGGAAATAATTATCATAGTAAAATTATTATAAAAATATATGCACATAAGATAAAGAGTAAATACTTTTTATCTAGATCTAAAAAATTCATAAAAATATCTGCTATTTATAAAAAAAACTTAAATAGTAAGATATATTAAAACCAAAAATATATTAAAACTTCAGAAAATTTTGCTTTGATCTTTTTTTTTTTTTTTTTATTATGCAGATCGTATTATTAACAAGATTGTATAAATATATTATCAAAAATTTATCAAGATATCTTCGCATGCATTTATCAGTATGAACACACGCGTGTACTCTGGTTTTCTCGCGTGCACGAAGAGTAACGATCGCCTCCACCAGATAAACGGAGCTAAAGGTCGTACAATCTCGAGGAGATGTTTCATGAATGAGCGGCTAGAGCGCTCAACGTATACGCGAGCGCAAAAGCGTTTCAATTTAGGAAACGAGCGGTGGAATGGACGACCGTAGTGTACGAACGACGACAGTATTTCCGGATTAAGGCGCGTAATCCGCCGATCACGCAGCGCGGCGGTCCGTTCAATCTATGCTTGAGTTCTCACTCGTTACTTGCCGAAATTTCGCCCCCCCCCCCGGTTCCGTATATTTGATGTCTTGATTTTTCTAGATCTTTCTCGCATATACACGTGATCGCTTCATATGAGCAAAGCGTAAGTATAAGCGCGAACGAAAAACGCTCTACTACAGTATCAAATTGCTCGCGGTGATTTGCTGAAGGGAACTGCATCTTTAAATTTTCACATCGAACGCGTTGATCTTTTCGCGAAAATATTTTTGCAAAATTCGCCGCCATGCATTCCACGCGTTTCACAAATATTGTCACGTCTCGTAAATGCTTTCGCGAGACTTTCCATGACACTTCGTAGCAACGAGATATTTGTTATTGTTGCTACGGAAGCGTTATAGCTTTTCAGAAACAAGAATTTAGTATCAAATAAGCCGCATTTTTCCGCAATATTGTTATACTTGAACGATTTCTCGTGATACTGCCATGTGAAGTAAACACATTATCGTTTTTGTTATCTTAGAAACAAACTCGGTTTTGTTTGTGCAAAATGCGCGCGGAATTTAGCATTAATACGAGTGTGATATTACATCGCTTGTTACGCGGGAAAATCAGGAACTTCATTATGATTCATGTCTGATTCTACCTCAATTTCCTGTAAGCCTGCAAATATGTTAGTCAAGAGAATAGCGTTGAATATAATGTCTACATTTATCTTCTATGTTTGTCTTCTATCATAAAGCGTAGAAAATGGCAATGCGAATAGCATTGAGATAAATGTTTATGATAAACGTATTTAGTATAGATATATCAGTCGTATAATATCATATATTGCGAAAAGAAAATAGATTTGACATATGAGAAGTATCTATATATTGTTAGTGATAGAAAATTTGCAGCACAACTTGGCTTCTTGCCAAGAATTCAGTGAGTTTAAATTTTTGAGAATAAAATCGCTATCGTAAGCTAAGCTGCTTTGCTCTTAAAAAATAATTCTCAGTACTTAACATCAATAACTCTTACAGACTGCACAAAAAACATATGCGTATTTTTCGCGCGGATTAGATCTTTGCCTGTCTCGTTCAGCATATTTATGGTCTAAGCGAGCGCGTTAAAATCACGGAGAAATCACGTAAATCGGATTAAGGTACTGGTCGAAGTCTCGTTCATCGGGATCGTCAATTATTAGTTCGTTAATCTAGCGAAGTGCGATTTTCAATTTTGCTGCGTCCGGAAGTGGACACGCGAGCTGTCCCCGGAGTTGCGAAAGCACCGACGAGAGAAACGGCCATTAGTTTGATTAACTGTCATATTTTCCGCGCGCTGATTTCGCAAAGAACGTTGTTGTAATTGCGTTTACGTCTGCCATCTCGCGCGCATCGAGTGTCTATCGTACGTATCCGTATACCGTAGTTGATTTATAGCTCGTGAAGAAGACGATACCATTTTGTACGCAGTATGCCCGCTTTTACACTCAAAGCTTACATCATTCGTTGCAAGATGTATATACAGACTGTTTCAAAATCATCGTGAAACTTTGATCAGACTCGGTAAATCGATTTTTCATTAGTAAATTAGATTGTATGACGACGGCAATCTTTAATAAATCAAGCAATCGAAATAAATCGAGATAAATATAATTTCGATGAATTAAAAGTATAAAATTTTATTTTACGTTTAATTCCAAATGGTCTTTTAACTTTTCCTTTAATTTCAAGTGCTGATAAATTTTACTTTAAGACAGAATATTAATTACAAGATTTAATAAATATATATGCAAAAGATACTTAATATAAATATTTTTCAAAAATTTACAATTAGTAATGTGCGATATTTATCAGCTGAGAGAGCGAACGTGATTACTACAGTCGTGCTGTAATCGAAACTGAAACTGGTTATAATGGAGACATGTAAGTATCCTCTCTTATCATACGCCACGATGTTTACTTTGCAGCTGCTAATCACGACCGTGCACGTTGGCTTAATCCACGGATATAGATCCGACAGACACATGCCAGTGGTGGAATCACGCACGTGTATATTACGCTTTACTGATGAAGAGAATCTTGAAACTAATTATTCAATTGTATACACTGTAAAATTTGCAAAATCTCTTTCTAAATTTCAGTGCACGTACCATATTGATCACAAACAGAACATTTTATTTATGATGCATTTTTATGTGTTAAATAATACATTGCAGTAACATCATTAATCAAATAAATAGACTTGTTAAATATTTCATGCATTTCCGCGAATGCGAATCAAACAGACATTTATTTTGTTATATTTGCGCATGCATTCGTGTTAAAATGCGAGGTAAACTTTAATATCCATAAAAGTGTGCAGTGAATATTGAAATATTGTTTCGCTTCAATACCAATTTAAAATTAAATATAAAGTCGCAACTGAGAAATTGCGAGCTCATCTATTTGTATAATATCTCTAACGATTTATATAATCAATAAGATACGTTCATATAGAATATAAGTTATGTAACTTTTGGATCGTGAGTTTTCCAAGCGAAACTAACCGTTGGCTAAATGGCTATATTAGTCTCTGTCGATCATTCGTGATTAATGGTTGGAAAGTGTGTGTAATAAACGCCAGCACTACGAACGTGCGAGAATTTCACTTTTGTAGAAACGGCAATCTCATTATGCATTCTTTGCTATTCGTGCGGTAAATAACAAGTTTCGAAATTGGACAAAATAATGATGCGTTACGATATTCTTCTGTTGTATATAAGTATTATTAGAATGCAGATGGAAATATAAGCAATGATTTATTCATATTCTTTATATTATTTATTTATTTATTATTTATATATTATTTATTTATTTATTTATTTATTATTTATTATATATTTTATATTT